AGTTGTTAATTTGGTATTGTATTGAATGATTCCATATTTAGCATTCATCAATGTTCTTATCTTCAAGGCATATTGGCCATGTGCATACAAAATAAAGGAGGTTGTTTAACTATCTGTTCCACTGCAAATGTGACAGATTATTTGAAGAGATATTGCAGACACAAGTGAAGAATGATGGCTGGAAAACTTCATCTATAATTCTGAGAATTATGACACATGATAACATTGAATAGCAAATGCAATAGTTTTCAGTTTGTCCATTTCATTTTTTATTTTATATATATTGTTATATTTTGCATTCCATTCTTACTTGAATAGAGTGTAGTATCTTGTATAGCAAAGCACTTGGAAGAGAGGGTCATAGCTCTACACCAGGGCAGAAAAGATTTATACAAGTCTTAAAGAAGAGCTTTCCTCCTCCTCTATTAGATGAAGTTAATTTTGCCAGATCCCATTCTGAAATTTATAACTTCATGATATGGAACAAAGCCAACACACTCAAACCTTCAGTCACGATGACTTGCAGGCACACCCATCTACGCTTCTGAAATCATTCCATCTCCCCATTTTTACTCACAAGGTCATCTCGTATACACATACACAAGATGTGCTGAAAAGTTTTAGGTCTGATCCAATTTCCAGAATCTGACCCAAGCATGACAATTTTTTTAAATCCTTTATTTGTTGAAAAAAGTAACTTTTCTTTCAGCATCTGTGTGTGTGTATGTATACATGCACATATACTTGTGTGTGTGTGTAATATATATATATATATTATTATAATGAAAACAAACTCTTAAAAGACCATGGTGATATTTATTTCGTTAAGATTGAGGGATCTCAACTCTTCAGACCGATTCATTACACAGATATTTGTGTGTAAGGAGTGGGTCTGAAGAGTTGTGATCTCTTGATCTTAACAAAATAAATATCACCATTGTCTTTTAAGAGTTCATTTTTCATTTTTGTTATAATATTAATTATTATTGCTCTGTTCTCGACATTGAGCTCTCCCTTGATTTATATCCTTTTGGAATTATCCTACAGATTACCAAATATTATCATTATATATATATATATATATACACACACACACACACACATGATTTTACTTCAAAAGTTTGTTTATCTACTCAGCCAGTTGTTGCAAGACAATATTTTTTGTAGAAACATTTAGCATTTCTGCCATATGCTTGAAAGTCAACAATATCGAGATAGAGAAATTTCTACATCTCTATGAAGTGGACTCTTCTAATGACTTGCCAATACATTTACACATTCAAAAAAGATAGATAGATAGATACTGAATTTTATATGCATTCATTTTTTTTTAAATATCATGTTCCTTCAGGAATTTGGCAATTATAGCTCTCCACAGATTCCTTTTCTTTATGCCCATAGGTTCTTGAGAAACACGATGGAATGGTTTCCTGTTGCTTTCTTTGAATTCTTTGAGTTTTGAATTCAAAGTTGTTCTTCTCATAGACTGACTGACACCCAAGGCTACAGAGTTCAGTCTACTCTGTTATTTAACCCCTAGACAAAGGAGAAGAAAAATATATTCATGTCTCTCTCCAGGGCATTTACATATACATTACTTAATTAAAACAAAAGAATCTTCATCAAATTTCTCTTGAAAATTGCAGTTGGATTTTTTTTTTGCTGTTTAATTTGCATTTACTTTCCATGATTTCTTCTGCTAAAATGTAGCTTCATATTACAATGACAATAAATGATGATCATCATTGGTCCCATCAATGGGTGTGGTCACAGAGTCACTGCACAACTGAGCACCTGACCTATTCCTTTTACACAGTTGGGTTCAAAACTGGAGATGAATTCCTTCATACCCAACATCGCTTAGGGAAGGAGACTTTGTAGAATTCCTTCATACCCAACATGGCTTAGGCAAGTAGATCTTGTGGGATTCATTCATCTTCAGGTCAAAACACAGCTCATGCCGTACTGGGTAAGACAATAAACTTCCTCTAACAGCAAAGCCTCTGATCAGGAGGTTATGACCTGGGGTGGTAGTACCTGTTAGGGTCCCAGATATGGGCAAATAGTTAAGCCCCAAACTGCAGTTAAAAAACTATGAAAATGTAAATAGGTTTTAATACCAGAAATACTTTGTAAAAAAAAAATTATTACCATCAATACATTTTTGAAAACAGAAGATATTACAAGCTATACATTTCTAAAAAAAAAATAAAATATTACCTGCTATACTTTTTTGAAAAAAAATATTACCAGTTATACATTTTAGAAAAAAATATTACAAGAAATAAAAATTGTCCGTATTAAATAACCCATTGAGGTTGATAAACTGTAAAACAAAACAAAACAAACAAAAACACTGTTCATGTGTCCTCTGACTTCTCACCAATATATGGCAGTTGATTGTATCAGGGGAAATCTTCACCCTGACCACTGACTTCAGCCTAGGAACCCCTCCACTCAGTGATGCTGTGTCATCACTGCACTGGCACTATACACAGCTATGGATCCCAGTTTGCCCCATTGTACAAGATGACCATTGACCCTGAAAGAAGGGTTCATCTACCATTTTATAGATCTTGTTTTTAATCCTGCTTGATGTCTAGTGACCCTACTCATTCGAAAAGCCTGGTGGGGGAACCAGTTTATTCACTGAACATGAAGCAGTAAATAATAATAATAATAAATTATTTCTCTTTATTATGCTTAAAATTTCATTTATAATATTCCCTGCTGAAATGGAAGTCTTTTATATGCCATCTATTAGAGTACCAAGAACAAAAAACTGTAAACTGTATTTGTTGCATTTATATCCCCACTTGCTTTCCTTATATATATATATATATATATATATATATATATATATAATTAATGTGTGCATGTATTGTATTAGTATTAAAAAAAATAAATCGCATTCTTCTTGTGTGGCTTCATTCCCAGTAGCCATTACACATGATATATACATACACTAGAGCATTTCAAACTTTCAGCTTCCCAAAGAATATCAGGATGTAGACAAAGGAATTCTAACTACCACAAAGACACCACATTGGTTCTTGATAATGCCTATGATAGTCAAAAGTAATCGAACAAAAATTACAGGAAAATATTAACTTTGGACAGTTTATCCACAATTTCAAATGCAATACTCAACACCTTATCCAAAAACTGAAAAAATATAATAAAAATTAAACAGACGGACTTATATATCTAATAAAAATTTAAAAAAATTAAACAGAGAGCCATATATGAAAGATGTTATAGTTGTTCTAACAAGAGAAAAGTGTATATTTTAAAAAGAAGATAAACCACAAATGTTTTTCGTTGAAATGTGGATTTTTTTATTTTAAAATGTATACTATACTCTATTTTCCATAATTCTGCTACACGTTTCTGGTTTCACAACCTTCTTCAAGCAAAGAGATAGATATTTCTACATATTATAAAAATGAATTTTCTGTGTTTATATAAACTCTTATCACCTGTCCAAGAAAGACATTTGAATCACTACCACGCAAAAAATTCATTTTTATAATATGTGGAAATATATACTCTTTGCTTGAAGAAGGTCACAAAATCAGAAAATCTTGTAGCAGAATTAGAAAAATAGAGTATAATATATATTTTTTAAAAATAAAGAAACCACATTTCAAAACAAAAAAATGTTTGTGGTTTATCTTCTTTTTTTGTCAATATATATATATATATATAGATACATACAATTGTAACCCGGATATAAGAGAGTTGTTATATCCAGGTTTTATATCTTATATCCGGGTTTGGTCTATTTTGTTTAGGTAAGTATGGGAATATTTTGGGGCCAGAGAAATCTCTCTTATATCCGGGTTTCTCTGTATATATATATATATATATATATATATATATATATATATATATATATATATATAGCAGCCAGTCTTGGAGAAGAAATCTGAATTCAAATCCATAGTCAAGACATTGAGAAACCACAAATCATTTTTCCCAAGAAAAAAATCAGAACAGGGATGACTTTTTGCTTTTGGCACCATGTAATCCCATTACAACCTCTAACATGTCATATGGAGAGGAGATGGGTGCTTTCAAGTAATTTCCATTGGTCTGGGAAATGGCATAAAAGGTAGTTATTTCGCATAATACCCCAACAATCCCATGGATCATGGGTTAAACTGGATGTGAATGCATGTGTGAAATTGTATACTGGCAAAAATAGTTGCATATCTTTAAAAAGTGATCAGTATCCTCACCCAGAAATATACCAAAATTTCAAATAATGATTTTTAGGGTATCAGGCACAGTTTACATGGAAAATTGTTACAACAATTATTTTTACTCCATCTACTTTGCCCTGTGCTGAACTCAGTCAAGATTGTTAAATATTTATATTTATTTATTATTTACTAATTTTGGAAATGTGAAAATTCCCTATTAATGTTCTGTGAGACCAACTTGCAAACATTTACCAGGGCTGAGCAGCCATGTTTGTGACCTGAGAATCTCTTAGAATTTTTATTTTAATCATTTCATCCCAAGCAAGGCAATAAAGCTACTAAGACACAAGGGGTTACTTAGTGTTAGAGAATATGAGAAAAATACTCTTAAGAGGGAGAACAATAAAAGAACAAGAATTAAGAAGACAGAAGATAACAATTAACATTGATTTAAATTTTTGAAGATCAAACTTGACTGGGAAGCAAGAAGCTCACAGTGTGTTCCACAAGTAGGAAGTGTGATAGAAGAATTTGTTAGCATAGAACTTATTGTTACATCTAGGCATTTCAACTGTAAAATGATGTCACCTTGCTGCAAATCTTGTACTGCACTTAAATTCATAAAGATTAGGTACCATAGAGGAATTACCATGAAAGTATTTATAGAAAAGGCACAGGGTTTAACCATTTATATATGTATCATTTGTTTGTGTATGAAATTATGCATATGCGTGTACTTTAGTTTAGAGGGAAAAAAAGTCATAGAGCCTTCTTTTTTTATTTTTAATTATACACATGCACACAAGCTCACTTACTCAGAAGGAGAATAGAGTATAGATTAAATTCAATCAAAACAAATTCATTTCTAATTACTTTTCTTGTAACATTCAATTAGAAAAATAGAAACATTTTGTCATTATTTTCTTTCCTTAGATGAAATTTGAAAGAGAAATTCTCTCAGTTCATTTCTTATCCTCTCTTTTTTTGTTCTCTCTTCTTTTATTCTCTTTTCTTATTCTAATTCTCTTTTCTTATTCTCTCTTTTCTTTCCTAAGACCAAACTTTCCAAGTCAAGAAAACAAATTGGAAACCTGAAAGTCAATATCTTTCTATGTAAAAGATCTTTTTACCCTTTTTTTATTTCTTTAAATCTTCGATAAAACTAAGTATATTTTTCCTTAAAATCACCCCACTTCCAAAACCATTACCAGTCAGTTCTTTCAAGCTAGAGGCAGAGTCATGGGTACAGAGAAAATTATAAGAATATATTTTGGAAATCTTCATCTTTCATAATGTCGTCTTCTTTGTAATATTTACTGAAAAAGAAAGGGAAAAAATAGAAAAGAAAGTAGCAGAAAAATAATGAAAGTTTCAACCTAATCTGACACTTAATGTAGTTTTAATCTAGTGGTTTTACAAAAATACAAAATCTATTCAGATCTGAACAGTTTTATGAAAAGAAATTTAAAAAGATTTCTTTGTATATTTTCTTATTTTTTATTTATTTTTCATCAAGCAGTTTTTCAGGATGACTTTTAAATGGCCTTGTTTACTTCTTCCCATATATATATATATATATATATATATATATATATTTGAAAATTTTATTGGTGGTACAAAACTTAATAACCGTCATAAACAGACAAAATTTATTTTTAATATTAACACATATGATAAGCAATTAAAGAAAAATGAAAAACAGGCTAGCTAACCAGTTTCAAACCTCACTCAACATTGCTAAATCAAGGTTAATAAATAGGTATACATTATTAATAAAAGGAATTGGGGAATGTATGAAAAAAAATAATAAAATGGATTTGTTTTCCATCTTGAGTAGGTCCCACTCTAATTACCAACTAAAAATATTTGAGGCCATATACATTTTATCTATGAAACCTTCTCTTTGCAAACAGAATAATTTTGTCCTTGATGTCCAATTATTTCCATTTCATTTTTTTATTTTTTTCACACATTCCCCAGTTCCTTTTATTGATAATGTATACCAATTTATAACCTCGATTTAGCTCTGTTGAGCAAGGTTCTAAACCAGTTAACTAGCCATTTTTCATTTTTTTCTTTAATTACTTATTTTATTTATTTACCATTTTGTCTGTTTATGGCATATATATATATATATATAAAAGTGAACATTGAAGTCAACAGGCAATTTCATGCTAGGCACAATCATCAGGCTATTCACTTTTATATTCATATTTACATACGCTCTATCTCTGATACTGAGCACTTTATCCCATAAATTTTGCACACCTTAAAACTATATTTCTTCATATATATATATATATATATATATATATAAGATGACCTTTAAATACCGAAAATCACCTTCAAAAATTGGTGGTTGTCTTATACTACGATTCTACAAAGAAAACATTAAATTCTGAGTGATCTGTGTCAGTAGACTAACCTTGGACTCAGTGTAATAACCAATAATGTACATGTCAAATAAACTGATAATAAAAGTAATAAAACTATTTCTACCTCATATATTACTGGCATAACTTCATAATAAATTGCCTATTCAAAGATTAATTCCATATCAATGAAATCAACTTGTATCCATGCAAGCTCAGCTGAGAAAATGTAATCTTCAAGTAATGATTGTGTTCAAAGCAATGAAATGTACTATTATCACACATTATCCTATTGTTATTAGCAGCATTTTGTGATTGTGATTTTAGATTGAGTATAAGTAAATGGCCATAAGTACACCAAGCTGTTTGTAACTGTTTAGATATAGAAAAAGAAGAAGAAGAATCAGTATTGACAAGAGATCACGTGATGAAACATAAACAAAACAATGGTTTCCCTTTGAGGGGATGTGTGTAGGAAAAACATGATACAGAATCGGTTTTGTTATTTTGTTTATTTTGAATTTCTAAGGATATAGTAAGTAATAACATTTCCAATAGCATCATCTTTATATAATCAATAAGCA